GAAGGAGCTAACAACAACAGAAAGGATAAGTATATGGGTAATATAAATTTTGACAGTAATACTAATAGTAATATATTGTAGTGTTTTGACTATATGTAGAATTAAAATGGCAACAACAATAACACGGAAAGAGGAGAGTAAATGGAGTTAAAGTGTTCTAATGTCTCACTGTTTTCAGGAAATGGTAAAAGGAAATATTTGTATTCTCTAAAAGCAAACAACTTAAAAATGTACATTATAATCTCTAGGGAAACCACTAAAAAGTAAAAGAATGTATAAATCTGATTAAGCCCAAAGAAATCAAGATAGGAATCAATGAAGTATAAAACAAACATACGTATACAATAAATTTTATATACAATGTAGAAAGTAAACAAATCCAATTGCTGGTTCTTTGAAAAGAAATTGGTAAATCCCAGCAAGATTCTTCCAAGAAGAATCCAAGGTTGGTTTGACATTTAAAACTTTGTTAATATAATTAATTCACCACATTATTAAACTTAAAAAGGAAAATTGTGTAATCATTTCAGCGGGTTCACAAAAAGTATATGATTAAATTCTACATTAATATATTTAAAAAATACCTTTGGCATTCTATGAATATATTCTGATAAAGAGTATGACCCCCCTCCTAAAGAAATCTACAATTATTCTTAATCCATATCATTCTTAATTCTTAGAAATTAAAAGCATTTCCTTTATAATATGGACCAAAACAATATCTTCTTTGGTCATTTCTAATCATTACTAAACTGGTGAGCCCATCTAGCATGGTTGGAACCCCGTAAATAATGATAAAATAAAATAAAATTTTAGGATTGAGTGAAAGAAACTAAACTGTCATTATTTGTAGATAATATGTTTGGATAATAGAAAACTAAAAGAAACTACAAACATATTATTAGAGTAAGAAAGTTTAGTAAAGTGGGGTATGTTCAAAGTATAAAAGTCGATTTTATTTTTTAAATTTATTTTACAATTGAAAAAAAAATATTAAAGTACCAAAAAAAAAAATACAACTAACAAAATATGTGAAGACTTTTAGAGAAGAAAATTATAAAGTTTTGTTGAAAGAAATTAAAGAGGACCTAAATAAATGAAGAGATATGTTATATTCATGGATTGGGTGACCTTTAGTTATGATATCAAAATCAAAAATCTCCCAATTGATTTACAAACTTCATTGTAGAAAAGCTCTACAGGTTTTTGATGGAAATTAAGCTGTTTCTAAAATTTATGCAGAAGAGTAAAAGCCAGTAATAGCCAAGACACCCCTGAGGAACAAGGTAGAGAAACTTGGAATATCATATATCAAGATGTAAATAATGTAGTAATTAAGACATTGGTTATTAGCATAGACACAAATGGTATATTAGAGTTTCCTGGAATAGTCCCATACATATATGGAATGTGGTAGCATTGTAGATCAATTGGAAGAGGATGTTCAATGAAAGGTGTTTGGTGAGTAGATGATCCATACAAGAAAAAAAATTAGATTGAGATTGGTTTCACATCATGCACCAAAAAAATCAGTTTCAGGTAAAGACCTAAGTACAAAAGGAAAAACCTTAAAACTTTAGGGGGAAAAAAAGTGGAAGAATATCTTTTGACTTCAGGATAGGGAAAGACTTTCTTATAAAGATACAAAGTGCAAACTATATGTAAAGGAAACATTTAAGTTAACATCTGTTGATCAAAAGACATTGCAAAGAAAGTGAAAAGAGCTCAGAGGATTTGTAATTTTCTAGAATGTGTAAAGAAAACTTTAAAAAGCAGTAAGAAAAAGACATTCCAAGAGAAAAATCAAAATACGTATTTCTCAAAAGAAGGAAAAGTGGCCAATTTTAGGTATGAAAAGGTGGTCAACTTAAATAGGAAGCAGAACAATGCAAGTTTCAACCATGAGATAATATTTGTATGCTCTGAGATTTGCAAAAATAAAATCTGACAATCTGCATGTTGGCATGAATCTAAAGCAGTGAGAGCCAAGGTCGGCTTTATTGGACTATAAATTTAGTTACGAGTACTTTGTAATACAATATATCATCTAGCGAAGTTGAATGTGTGTGTTCATGTGTTTCTTTAACCTAGCAATTCCATTTCTAGCAGTATACTCCAGAGAAATTCTTACACCCATGTACCAGGAGACAAGATACTCATACTAGCATTGTTCATAATAATAAAAAGCGAGAAACAGTCCAGATATTTATAAACAGAAGGATGATGAATTGCGTGTACATAATGTTGGGTAATACAGCAGGCAAATACATTTAACAGTATTCTGTCTATATACATTTTAAAGCATACAGATTTTAAAAGTTATGTAGAATTACATATATTCATGTGGAAAAACTATAAAGGAAATCAAGGAAATGATAAAATTAAAATTCAGGATAGCAGTTACTCCTGGAGGTATAAGAGAAAATATGTGATTAAGGAGGCACATTGTGTTAGTTAAGATACAGGTTCAGCTGCATTTGACAGAAAACCCACATAGTGACATAAACAAGATACAAGTTTATTTGTCTTGTAACAGGTTGAAAATATCCCAGGCATGACAGTTATGTTCTACATGGTTATCTAGGAGCCGGGCTTCTCTTTTTTGGAGCTCCTCATCCACGTGGTTATGATGGCTCATCACCAGAGCTACATTTCAAGTGTAATGTGGCAGAATGGAGGAGTAAGTGACCTTAAAAAGGAAGTTGTACATGAAGACTTCTCTTCATGGTCTTCTGGCTAGACTGTATCCACTGTATAGTAATTTTTAGATCCAAGGAGGCTTGAGAAATGTGCCTAGCTGAAAATCAGGAGTTCTAGAACAGAGAGAAAGAGAAAGAGAGCACAGGTATTAGGAGGAAAGTAGCAATTTCTGCCACAGGCTCATGCGGCTAGGGTAGGAGGGGAAAGCATGAAGGTATTGGTATTGTTCTGTTTCTTGAAATAGGATGGTGAGTATAGTTGTCTTTTTAAAATTTTATGCGTTCCCTATAAATTATATGCTTTTGTATATATGGAATATTTCATTATTAGAGCTAAAAAGTTTAGTGGATACTTTTTAGCTTTATTTTGCTTGAGTCTTATGCAGCATATGGTACTGTTGATCACACCCTCTAGACATACGAATTTTTATTGGCAAGAATCTCCTGGTCTTTCTCTTATTTTTCCATCCATTCCTTTTCAGCCTCCTAGGCTTCACTTTCTCTGCAGGGAACAAAAAGGCCTTTCCTAGATGCCCCTCACTTGGTCTCCGTAATTATTTAGGATAGTTTCAAATTGGCTAATGGGTTTCCTGGATTTGGACAAATTGCAAGAGAAAACTAATTATATGGTAAATATTCAGATTTTATCACCTTTTATTCATAATGCTCTATCCATATATGGAAAAGGGAGGTTAGCACATTTTTTTCTTTGTAATTTTAAATATTTTTTATACCTTTCTGAAGTACATAATAAAAGGGCAAATAATTCTAGGGTGAGTCCAGAGAACCAGTGCATCTTGTAAAGGTAAGAAACAGCAACTGTTCTCATAAGTATATACATAAAACATCATTAGAATAAATCTTGGAAACGCCTCACATTATTATAATCATGTATAAACATGTGATATCTTTTTATAAAAACTCAGCAGTTTACTTGATCTCTCAGAATGACTGCATTTCCTAACCCTCCTTGCAGCTAGGTATAACTATCTTGACCTAGGGCTTGGCTAATGGAATGTAAACAAAAGTCACTAAATGATAAATTTTAGCATATGTTAACAGGAACTATTTTTTCCCCAATGAAATAGTCTCAGGCATACATGCATTTGAGAATTTGTATTCACTTAAATTTTTATTAAAGCAAATAAGATAAAATTCAGTTAGCATTCAAGTTTCAACCATAAGTCAGGGACTGTGTCAGGTTCTGGGAATACAGGATTGAGCAAATTCTAGTCCCAACCTTCAGGGAACTAATAGTCCAGAGGAAATCTAGGTGAATGCTATGTTATAGATAGATAATGCCTAAGGTGCTGTGGAAACACAGAAAATGCCAAGGTTAGCTGGGAAACTCAAACTCAAGAGAGTTGACAAAACCTAATGTAAGTTTATAAAATAAAAGCATTTAAAAATAGCATCTAAAGATCTCAGTTGTTATAAGCATTTTAAATAGTTACATTAAAAAAGAAAATGAGTCCAAATGTTATTAAAGGAGGTAGAGGTTAGGGGGGAGGGAAGGAGTACAAATGAGCTCTATTAATTTTTAAAATATTTTATCTATTGTATAGATCTTTTCTTTGTATACTAATTTTATAACCAGAGAAAATAATTTAAAATCCAGTTTTTAAACAGAATATGTATTTCTTAATGTAGCAACGTAACTTTTTTTGATTTAGCAACATAGTTTTCTTAAGATTCCTGGACTCTTAACTTTATTTTCAGAAACACAAACTCATGTAACATTTATAGTATGTGTTTTATACATATCTTTTTTAATGTATTAAGTTAAATCTTACTTAGTGTAAATATGTACAATGCTCATAGTACTTCACAGTAATTCCAGTGTAGATATCATCTGACATTGGAATTTAAGGCAGAGATTCAAGTTTCATTCACTGACTAACAGATTGCAAGGAGGAAAACAGTATGCACAATTCTTAATCTTAACATAGCACCTGCTCTTACAGTTCTCACCATTATGGGATGTTGTAGCTATTCTCTTTTAACCCAACATTCCTCAAACTCATTTCTTTTTATGGTGATTTCATAAGGCAAGGGAAAGACCCATTTTCACAGATGTTGCTCCTCCTTTTGAAAAACTGAAAAGGGATTAGTAAAATCTCATCACATTTATGGCCTTTAATAACTTCTCTCATAAACCCTTTGTCATTTTCAAGCTTTTTCTCTAAGGTGATTTATTAACCCAGGACTTTCTAGTGTCATTCAGATACTGTACTCTGTAACTGTTACATCCTCTCTGATTCAGTTTTTAAGCAAAAACGAAGTCTTTTTTTTTCCTTGCAGACTTTGCCTTCAAAAGAAACAACGTTTTTAAATACTACACAAATGCCTTGCTTGCAATCAGCTTCAACTTGGAGTAGCTGTGAACACGATTCAAAATCTCAGATATTAAGAGAACATGTATCAGAATTGGACTCTTCTTTCCATTCTGTCCTATCATTGCCATCAGGTAAGCCTACTTATAAAAAAATTTCTAAGTAAACTCAATATATTCTGTGGTGAAGTCTATTCCTATAGATAAAAGGAATCTAATAAAAATTTTATCAATTATTTTGCCCCTGGATATTAGAACTAAACAGTTTTCATAGAGGAATTAATCCTGTGAGTTAATCTTCTACTTTTGCAAGTTGATTCTTAAATTCCTTGGAAACCATTTTGAGTTATATTGGGAAATAACTACATTTTGATCTTTTCAGTGTTAAAATTTAGGATTTTATTGATAGAGTGACTATGCCATTGAAATGTTTCTCAGTAAGTCGGTTTTCTTTCCTAATATGTTGTTTTGCATGGAGTTTTCTCTGCTATATAATACTCCTCTGCTTATAATCAGCATTGAGTTTCTTTGGGATAAGAAATTGCCCATCTTTAGGTATAGTCAACTTTTGAACCTCAAGAAAATCTATAATCTGTAACTGAGTGAATGAGGCACGCATAGCCCCACATTCCTTTAAGTTTCTAGTTCTTGGTTTTTGTTGGAACCGTTGCTATTGTTTCTTTTTTTTTTTTAAGTTTTGGGGTTTTTTTTGTTTTTTGTAATCTCTATGCCCAATGGGGGGCTCAAACTCACAACCCCAAGATCAAGAGTTGCATGCTTTTCTGAGCCAGGCAGGCACCCCTCCGGTTGTTTCTGTATTGAACTGAAGTAAATACTAGGGTAAAAAAGGAAACAGTCTTCACACTGGTTATCTCAGGTTCTTCTCTTTAAGGGAAGACATCTCAAATGGGCTTTTGTTTCCTTTTCAGCTTTTGGTTTTTATCATCCAGGGACTGCTCCTCTTTGTAAAGCATTATTTTCTGTACCTATTCTTGCCCTGAATCCTGAATCTTTGTTTTCTTACCAATTTTCGAGTGGTTTCTTAGCTACACCATACTTAGAATTAAGTTCCTGGGGGCGCCTGGGTGGCTCAGCTGTTAAGCGTCTGCCTTTGGCTCAGGTCATGGTCCCAGGGTCCTCAGATCGAGCCCTGCATCAGGCTCCCTGCTCGGCGGGAGGCCTGCTTCTCCCTCTCCCACTCCCCCTGCTTGTGTTCCTTCTCTCGCTGTGCCTCTCTCTGTCAAATAAATAAATAAAATCTTTAAAAAAAAGAAAAAGAATTAAGCTCCTGGCAGGAACTATGTTCCCATCTTTGAGGAAAGCCAAATAATAGAAAGAAACAATAATAAATAAAACAATGGTAATGCAGCTAACATTTGGGCTTAGCATACCTGTAAGCACATTACATTTTCTTGTTTAATTCTTCCAGTTTTCCTCTTTATCTTACATACAAGAAAACTGAGGCTTACTATTCTAAGATTATACAGCTAGTAAATGATGGAGGCAAGATTTGATATGAGGTAGTCATACTCCAGAGCCACACTCCTAACCTTTACTCTTCACTGCCTGTTTTCTCCTGCTACATTTTGTCTCTGATATAACCCTGAGAGCTGGCATTAATTATCCTTCATTTAATCCTCTTATGTCCCTTCAAATAAGTTAAGATTAACTTCCCCACCTATTAATCAGGTTTTTCATTTCTTCTTGCATTCATTTAATAAAAATCTGAATACCTACTATTTACTAGGTACTAAGAGTATAAATACAAATAAATCCCTCAAAGTACTTGCATTCTAGTTTAAGACAACTGAAATGTAAACTAGTAAGTGTATTAAACTGTTATGAAATATTCTTATAAAAGCCCAAAGGTGTGGGTACTAAGGAAGGTATATGGGTGGAACAAGGGCCTTCCCTGGTTACGTCATGTTTTCTCACAACTCATGAGGAACAGTGGTAGAATAGGTGATATTTTCTTTATAAAAGTAAGTGATATTTCTTTGGAGAAATAAACTTATAAAAGTTTTGGCAGTTGGAAAATACTGGATTCCTGAAATGCTTAAATAACATATTTAATTTGTAATCTTAGTTTCATTTTATAGTTTTTGTATGATCATAGTATATAGTGTTAGGACTGAAATCTTTCCTACCTCTGTTCTGTCCCTTTGGGATAGACTCCATGTTGAAACTCATGAACCTTTTTTTTTTTTTTTAAGTGTATTTTTCCACACTTGAGTATGGATCTGAATTAAAATATATCATTTGAGGGAGAGATACTTATTTGTTTAAAATCCAGACCTGTTCTGGGTCTGTTCTGATTTATGTGTTCATAATTAGTTTTTTTTTCAGTAGCAAAACTTTCAATACACCAACTACTTTTAAAATATTTGTTTCTTAGGGAGAAGTTTAGGTGTCTCTATTAAATACTTTTGAAGATGGTTTTGTTTTTGCATCTTGATTGAGGAAAAAACTTTAATAAATGTGAAACACATCTACTTTATTATTTAGCTCCTCTTTTGGTTGTGAGAATATAGAATATAAATATAGTGAATTGACATCTCAGTCTCTATTTAAAGGAAGAGAGCTAGTCTGTAAATGTGTTTTAATCTTTGTAAAAGTATATTTTGTGATTCATAATATTAGTAAACTAAGGAATATGAAACTTGGTGGTTTCATCAAAGGTAGCATCTGAATTATAATGGTTTTCCCTCAAGTAATTAAAACATATCTTTCAGAAACCTCATTATTTCAAATGTAAAATTTGTGGGGGTGGGGTGGAATGGACTTAGACTCAGCCAGGTTTGGCTGTATGTTTTATTCAAGACCTTTGGATACGTTTGTTTTATCTGGGAATAGTACTTACTAATACTTACAATTTTGATCATCTTATCTATTATTTTGGTTTATGAACTTATTCATCATTAGAGTTTTTATTTATTTAGTGCATATAATCAGTAATTTCCAAAATACTGCTGTCTGTATGCTTGGAGAGAGTACTTTGCCACTTCTGATAGTTGTAACATTTCAAGTTTTTGCTTATTTTTCTAAGCTTATGTGCCACTTAGAGAAAGAAAGCAATCTTAATATTAGAATCTATAAAAAATGATATTCACTAAAAGTACTTTTTTTAACTTTATTTTTCCAGATGTGCCTCTTCATTTTCACTTTGAAACACTGTTTAAAAGGACTGAAATAAAAGGAGATCTTGCTGAAAATAAATTTATAGGAGACTGTGTCATAGCTCCATCACCTGGTATGTCATTTACAAATCTTGTACTTTATATGCCTTTTACATCTTTCAGATACTGTTTTTGCTTTCTAAGGAAATAAAATTTAACAAAGGAACAAGATGTAAATCCTTAATTTTTAATACTCACTTTTTACAAATCACACATAACACACACATGTAGGAAATACACAGGAGTGATCTTAACAAGAAAGGTGATACTTATAGAATGAAAATTATGAAATATTGATAAATATAAAAAAAGGAAATCTAAATACACATGGAGAATACAGCATTCCTAGATGATAGGATTAATAAGGATATCAATTCTTCCTGTTGGTTTATATATTTAATGCAATGTAACTTGAAGTTCTAAAAGAATCTGGTTAACTTAACAAAATAATTGTAAAGCCCATTGGGAAGAATAAATGGGAAAACACAAAACTAACTGCTGGAAAAAGTATTAAGAGAATCTATCCTAGCCACATATGGAAACATAACAAAAATCTGTAATAGTTATTAGCATAGATTTTGTATACATTTAGGAAAGTAAATCCATGAAGCAGACTATATAGCTTATACTTTATAAGGGAAGAATTATAAATCAATGAGAACATGGAGAACTATTCAATAAATAGTATTGTTAGTACTGTTAGTCTTTTGGGGGAAATTTTGTTTACATACTTGTTTCATACCATGTATCAGAATAAATTCTAGTTGGTTCCAAGAATTTGAAGAATTAAAACACTAAAATTACAAAATAAAAATAGAAGAATTATAATGATATAGTTATGAGTATTATGGGGGCGGGACATTGTGCTTGGAAACAATCACAAGAAGAAAAACATCATGTTTTGACTGTCTACAAAGTGAAAATCTTAGTATCAAAAAAGTCATACAAAGAAAAATTACTTCCATATGAAATAATCATCTACCTCAAAAACTCAAGAATCAACTCAATGCCTGTTAGAATTGGAGTTCTAAAAAGTAGCAGATTTTAAAATAAATTTATAAAAATCAGCAGCCTTATAAATACCAGTAATAACCAGTTAGAATATGTAGAGGAATTATACACATTGACAGTGAAAATATAAAATACCTAGGATTAATTAAACTTAGTAAGGACCTACACGAAGAAAACTTAAAAAGTTTACTAAGGAACACAAGAATATGTGCCTATGGAGAGAAATAACCCTATTCCTATCAGAAGACAGTATTGTCTGAGGTGCCTGGGTGGCTCAGTCAAGTGTCCAGCTCTTGATCTCAGCTCAAGTCTTGATCTCAGGGTCATGAGTTCAAGCCCCACATTGGGCTCCATGCCCAGCATGGAGCCCACTTTAAAAAAAAAAAAAAAAAAAAGGACAGTATTGGAACTTAAGATGTTATTTTTCCCCAGCTTAATTTGTAATGTAACTCTTAATTAGAATCATAGAGGTATTTTTTTTTTAAGATTTTATTTGTTAGAGAGACAGAGAGAGTACGAGCAGGAAGAGCGGCAGGCAGAGGGAGAAGCGATGTGGGACTCGATCCCAGGACCCTGGGATCATGACCTGAGCCAAAGGCAGATGCTTAACCAACTGAGCCACCCAGGGATCCTAGTATTCTTTTCTTTTGGAACAAAGTTATTCTGAAGTTTATCTGAGAGAATAAATGTTGAATAGCTAATAAAATTTTTAAAAGATCAGTAAGAAGGAGGTGCCAGGTAACAAAACTGTAAAGCCATAAGCATTATTTTATTGTGTTGATGGAAGTCAGATCAAGAAAGCTAAATAGCCTAGAGACAGACCCAACTGTCCATTATATGATAAAAAGGTGGTTTTTCCTATCAGTGTGGGAAGGATGGCCTCATCAATAAATAATAACAATAATTCTTATGAAGCATTCCTTACACGCCACTACTGGTTGAAGGGCTTTATATTTGTTGATTGCTTTAATCTGTACAACCCTGTAAAGTGAGTATTATGATTTTCTTCCTTGACTGATTTTCCCAAAGTCACATTTGAGTAGTGATAGGGTCAGGATTCAAGTCCAAGCAGTCTGGCTCAGAGTCCATGTTTTAAACAACTAAGTTTCTTCTAAAATCAGTGGATTAAACAATGACTTTTTGGGAAAAAAAAGATCTCTACCTCATACAGCACATTAATGTTCATCCATCTTAAATTTATTTTAAATACATTCCAGATGGATTAAAGAGTTAAATGTTAAAAGTTCTGTCTTAAAAGAATTAGAAGAAAAAAACTGATGTATTTAATGATGATGATAAGGAAAATAATAATCATAAGTAACATTTATGGAGTGTTTATGTGTAGACACTCTGCTAAATATTTACTGTTTTTTCTGATTACCTTAGGACATTTAAATGTTATAATCATCAATTCTGGCAAGATGTGTGTAGTAAAACAGGACCCTCAAATATTTTAGAGAGCATTAAGAATACAGACCTTTTGGGAAGTATTGTGAAATTAATTACAATGCCTTTAAACTATGTATTCTTTAAATAAGCTCATTGAGGAAAAATAACTATTTACTTGTGCAAATGTTTACTAAACTGTTAACTGTGTATTTTGACCCAGTAAATCCATTTCTGGTAACCTAGCCTAATGCTTAATATAAAACCACCTTTATTTACAAATCTATTCATTTTACCATTATTTGTGTTAATGAAAAATTGGAAACAACTTAAAAGAGCATAATTGAGATATGGTTAACACAGTGGAACATGCAACTTTTAAAAATGTCTTTAAAGTTCATGTAAGGATGGAAACATCAAAGAATGTCAAGTAATAGAAAAGGACAAACATGTTTTACTTCTATGTATGGTATGATTATAACCATGTAAAAATGTTCATTCTTCTATCAACCAAATGCAATGTGTGGGTCTTTTGAGGATCCTGATTTGAACAACGCAGCTGTACACATACACACAATTTTTGAGATAATGAAATTTGAACACACATGGCTGTTGAATATTAATGAACTTTGTTAGATGTAATAATGCATGTGGTTACATAAACACACACACTCTTTATGTTTGTTAGAAATTCAAGCTCACATATCTGTAGATGGGATTTGCTTTAAAATAGGTTAGCAAAAAAAAGTTGGGGAGAGAGAGGAAACAAGGTTGGTCACTAGTTTGTAATCGTTGATAATGAATGATAGGTATAGGGGAGATTATTCTTCTCTTCTTCATTTGTGTTTGTTGAAATTTTTCCACAGTAAAAAGTTTTTTAAAAAAAAAGCACTAAGGACAAGGAGCTATTGTCTATGCTTAGGGAAAAAAGACTGAAGAAATACAGGAAAATATAGGGTTATGTTCAAATACTTTTTCATGATACAATTCGTCTACTTGGAATTTATACTGAGACTAATTTAAAAAAAAATGCATGCATGAAGGTGACTGTTTTAAGAGTAACAATAATAGGAATATCATGATGATAACAACTAGCTCTAACAGCTAGGGGATAGTTAAATGATATTATCTCTAACCAGAAGAATGTTAGGTAACCATTTGAAAAAATAACAAGTGAATTAATCAAATTTGAAAAATACAGTTGTACATATATTTAAATGAAGTTACATTTGAAGTGTGAATATAAAATGCATTTGTTTGAAAGGAATATACAAAAATGAAATTATATGCTGTTAGATAAATGAGATTAGATGGTTATATTATTTCTAATGTTATTTATCTGAAATTTAAAAAAGATAGAGCAGTGTAATAATGTGTTAGGCACAGAAGTAATAGTAACTTATCAATAATGCTAGTAATGGGGGAATTGAGAGCTAGGAACAGAAGATATTTGAGATGAATGCTGCCATATTATTAGGCAAATCAGTGAAGTATATTCTATTGTATCCCAGTCTCTCCTCCCTTATTTTCTTTCCCTACCACTCCCAACCTAAATAATTAAGCATTAATTAGATTTCATCCTATGTAACCATGTCTGAAATACTGGTCATTATTATTTGTTGTTAGTGATTTCTGTAGAATTAAATAAAACTAGAGTTCAACATTTATTGACCACTTACTCTGTACCAGGCAGACTGAAGAATCAAAAGTGAATCACAGGGAATCAAAGAAATTATAATGTAATAAGAGGAAGCAGACACACAAATAACTATTAAAATGATGTGGGCACAGATATAAAAATATTCTAAAAAGAAGAGGGAGTGTGTAACTTTGCCTAGGGGAAGGCAAGAGGGAGGGAGGGGTAAGGGTAATGGGGAGAGGGCAAGAGGAACTCCAGAAAGATGGTGATGCCAAGTATGGCTTTATAATACTTAATTGGAATTTAGAGGAAGAAGAGTAAAGTGTTCCAAATCATTGTTTCTCAAACTTTTATGTGCAAACAAACTACTTGAGGGATGTTGTTAGAATGCAGTTTCTGATTCAGTAAGTCTGGAATGGGGTCTGATTCTGCATTTCTAACAAGTCCTAGGTGGTTCAAATGCTGTTGGCCCATATTGATTTTAAAATGGAAACAAACGTGATTTGTCATGGAGACATAAAACAGTGTGATGTATATACAAAATGCCTGGTATTATAGGGTAAATTGTGTGAAGGTAAGTAGATGGATGTTTGTGTGCTTTGTCACAGAGCTTTTATTTATCCTCTGTTGTCCAGAAGAATTTTAAGAATGCACAGCTGACTTCAGGTAACAAGTAGGGCAAAGACAAATTGTAGTGGGTTGAAGAGTAAATGATTAGTTGCCAATTCTGAAGAAATACCGGGCAAAGCCAATGAAGGGCCTGTACTCATCAAAATATGCAGTCATGAAAGATAAGGCAGTCGAACTATTTCAGATATAAGAAAACTTTAGACACATGACAACTAAATGCAAAATGAACAGAATTTCCTATAAAGAACATTATGGGGGTGGGCGGCGCGCCTGGGTGGCTTAGTCAGTTAAGCGGCTGCCTCCTGTGCTCCTGGGATTGAGTCCCGCATCGGGCTCTCTGCTCAGCAGGGAGCCTGCTTCTCCCTCTGTCTGCTGCTCTGCCTACTTGTGCTATATCTGTGTCAAATAAATAAAAACCTTAAAAAAAAATTATAGGAATAATTGGTGAAATTTAAATCAGTCCATAGTTAATAGTATTAAATTTGATAGTTGTGTGGCTATGTAAGACAATACATGTTGACAAATTTACAGGGACATTGTGTCAGCAACTTAATCTCACTGGAGTTCAGAAAAATAAAGCAAGTAAGATAAACTTAGTATTTGTGGAATCTGAATAAAGGGTATATGGGACTTCTTTTTACTATTGCAAGCTTTCTGTTAGTCTGAAATTATGTAAAAATGAAGTTTATTTTTTAGAGTGGACAGATGAGAGAGGAACAGTGGCACCATAACCCACACAAGCAAGCCAAAACCTAGGGCTTAGGCTTCTCCACCTACACTTCCTCATATCTAAACCCATTATCAGTATGATCTGACTCATTTGTTTCAAACATGCTCCTGTCTTCATTTCTACTGCTTTCAGAGGCCAATCTAATGATCCCTTATCTATACTGCTGAAATAGCCTAATCAATTATTTCCCTCCAATCCCTGTAGCTAGTGATCTTTGGAAAATGTAAAACTGCCTACGTCACACCTGTTCCCCACCCCCATTCCTTAAAATGTCTGACAGAGAGAATATTATAGGAGACCCCTAAAGTCCTACCTACCTAGGATGACTCCTACCTGTTCATGGTTCTTTTTCACTATACTTCCTTACTCTATACTAACTGCTGTTCCATTGTCAAATTTATCTGGCTCCCTGTTGCTTTGGGCCTTTGTACATACCATTCTCTCTTCCCCTTGCCATCAACGATTTCTGTTCATCTTTGAAATCTATCACTTTGCCTGGGTACTTTTCCTAGAGCTGTTATATACTCCCACTAACTTCCCTAAATAGTACTTCTCTTTTCTGTTACACGTTGGTTGCAGTTTTTGAGATAATGTCTATAAACTCCATTAGTGGCAAGGATCATGACTGCTCACCAGTGTTCCCAGGGTCTAACACAGTGCCTGGTGTGTAATTAGCTCTCTCTGAAGTTACTGAATGAATAAATGAAAGGGAAGAAAGGGAAGGCAGGAGATAGGAGAGATACTGTGTCAAGATGTGTTTTAGGATAGAATCCGGGAGAGGATTTTGGAGAGCAAGAACTGAAAGACTCAGAGGATTATAAGGAGGTAAAGAGAATGTGTAGTTTGATTTTGAGTTGTCATATATTTCCTACTGTTTCAAGAGTCCGTTGCAACCTTACAAGATACTAAGGAAAAATAAGTATAAAGAAAACTCAAGTAAAATTCAGTAAAAAGTACCACCTTAGGGAAGGTTGAAGTTTCTTCAAAAAGGTATTTGCTTTTAGAAAACAGGAAAGGGGGTGAATTGCTTTTAGAAGAGAAGGGCGAATTGACTGGAATTTGTTTTAAAATACTCCAGAAATGTTTCCATTAAAACAAAAGAGAGGGCATTATTGGAACACCTGCATGTATGAGGCATATTATACATTTTAAAACCTCTCACAATTCTAGTTACCCCTTTCTAGAAATGGATTTAGAATTATGACTGCCAGTTCATTTTGTTTTCTATTTATATTTAACCTCTTTCTCTGCATTCTTTTGGGTGGTAAGAAATCTTGGGGGCCATCTTAGAATTCTGCCATTTTCCCTGAGCTCTTTTTTTTTTCTTTTAAGATTTGAGAGAAAGAGAGGCAAAGGGAAAGGGAGAGTCCCAAGCAGACTCTGCGCTGATCTCACAACCAGAGCTGAAACCGAGTTGGGCACTCAACACCTCCCTGAGCTCCTTAAAGTCACTGTTCTGTTTTCCAGCAGCTAGTTTTGCTTTGTCAATTTGATCTTCATTACTTTGCAGTAATCCTTTTATCCCTTTTCTGGTAACTTTTAGGATATCTTTGTTGTGATGTATGATTCAGATTTTTCCCCCCACTTGACACTCAAATGAGTTCTTGAAATCTTATGGAAAAATTTTTGTCTATCATTTCTTCAACATTACCTCGCATTCTGTTCCGTTGCCCCATTTTGGTTTGCCCTTTTCTCTCCCCATAATTTTCCACCACTCGTTTGAGTTGTACAATTCCTCTGCCAACCCACTGATTGTCATGTTCAGCCATGTCCATTCTGTTACTTAGCCCAATTAGTGATGGTTGTTTTTAAATATGAACAATTTTATTTTCCATTTCTGAAGTCTCTCTAAAGGAAACTTTTGCCTGTTTCTTTTGGCAATGTTGTTTTAAAGACTTATTTGTAGTCTGTGAATCCATTCACTGTTTCTTGAGATGGTTCATTTGTACTTCATTTTTTATGGTGCTGGTACTCAGATTTTTGGAGATTTGAGTTCTCAACTTTAAAGTTGATATTCACTATTAGGACTGTTCTGCCACTGTTATGAGATCCTTTTCTCATGGATAGGGTAGAAATTTGCACTCAGTACTATTTTCAGAAGCAGGGACGGGCAGGACATATTTCAAAGTGAGGCACTTGGGCATTGCTTTCTCTCTACCCATCCATTTCTCTGTCCAAGACTCAGATTGTTACCTATTAAGGCAGATAATCTCAAGGAGCGTAGCTGAGGAGTTGGCATGTGTAATCATCCTATCAGATAACTATCCATCTAGGTAATTGTCCTGCACCATTTCCCTTCCCTCCAGGTCTAGAGCACCTTTCATGATCCTATTTTTGTGGCAGCACTTTCCCATGTGCTTTTGCACTGTTTGCTCTTCAAATTCCCTATATCAGTCTTTCAGATATTCCTCACAAATTCTGCTTTACTTACAAGTTCCCTTTTATTGCTTGCTAATGTGGATGTATATGTGCAGATCTTTGCATATGTCTATGTATAAACCTTTTGTCTATTATTTTTAGGGTGTTTTGTCATCTTGAAATCAGAGCCCCAGTTATTGTTAGACCATCCTTTTTTTCCCCCCTCAGTGTTAGTGAGAAATTGGCACTTCAGCCTACATTTCTTTTTCATCTCCAAACCCTTCAAAAAAGAAGCCAATTTGGTTACTAAGCCAGTAGTGGAAATATGGGGTTCAGATAGGCAATAATAATCATGATGAAACTAATTTATTGAATACTTATGTCAGATATCCTTCTAATGACTATTACAGGGATTAACTCATTTAATCCTCATAAGCCCATGATAGCTGCTCTTATCCCTGTTTTACAGATGAGGCAACTGAGGCACAGAGATACTAGGTGACCTAAAAGTTTAAGAGAATTCAGTGCTTTTAAAAAGTGTAAGAATGGTGCTGGGTACTGTCAGTTTGATGAAATCTGGTTCTTGCTCTCAAGAGGTCCCTGTCTATTGTGATTTTGTAGACTCTTACTTGATCCTGAATTACTTTCAGATTTAAGGGCGAGTGGGGAGCTGTAACTTAGGGATTCAGATCATATTCAGCCAAGATTTACAGACCTGAAACAACTTCCTCAGATTTTGTAATTTAGAGGAGACTTTGAGAACAGGTTGTAACCTTTTCTTTTCATCCCCTTCAAGTAATGGAGCAACTATAGGAAATTGGGCACTTCTTGAAGATGTTTTTAAGGAATCTTATTGGGGTATTTTCAGTTTAGGAGCATTCCATTTTGATTATGTATTTCTCTCATTGTATGTAATTTTGAACTGGTGAATTAATGTTCTACAATGTCGTAAGTAAAAACAAATTAACATATTCATTATGTGTTAAGGAAAACTTCACATTTCCTTTCTATTTGTTTTAGTACATAATACTTCTCTGAATCAATGGAGAAATGGATATTCTCCTACATGCAAGCCTCAAATAAGGTCAGAATCTTCTGCACAGCTGTTCCAGGGAAGAAAGAAAAGACACTTGAGTGAAACAGCATTAGGTAGGTTAAAATGAGGATATGAGCACTAGTAATAAATTGAAACTAAAAACTGAAAATGATCTTCAAAGAACCTCTGCTTCATGGAAATTTATAATCCAGAATAGTCCCTATTACACAAAATATCCATGGTCCTATGAATGTTAAACAGCATATTCACGTAGTCAATTCAGGACTGTGTGGACTGGGCATCCATCCACTTGATGGCAATTAAGGATTTCCTTCCTATATTCCCTAACTAGAGTTATCTTCTATGGACTGTCCTCCTGGACAGAACTTAAGCCAACGCTGTGTTCTGGACTCAAAATATGTCAGTACAGAGGTGCCTTAGAGCCATTTCTGGTACTTACGTGGAGGTGTCAGTTCAGTGAAGCTTCCTTAGAATTTTGAGAAATTGGATGAGATTCACCTAACATAACTCAACCAACTAGTTCAATTTCCCTTAGGAACTTACAGTTCCAAGATGATCAGTAGACATCTTTGAAATTAGAACTCTTCTAGTAATAAAAAATGGGGTTTGTTGTGGGGATTTGGGACTATCGGTTTCCAGAGTTACTGCAAATAACAATTAAAAAACTTACCAGAAAATATACATTTTAAATGGCAAATTATTTATGTTTTGGTTCTTATTCATTGTTGCAGTGGACAGAACACTATATACATTAGTCAAGTATTCCCCAGATGTGTATGTCAGTATACCCAATAATTTAGAAATTGCATTCAAGATGTACTGGACTGTGATTATACTTAATGGATTTAACACGGTTATCACTACTATCTCTAGAAATGCCACCATATCAGCCCAAGTCACTACCTGATAATCACTACCTGATGAGCTAGTGTGGCACAAAATTAAACTCCTAGCCACAACCAGAGATACCACTGTGCTTTTTTAGTACCTCAATCTTAAAGACAACCAAGAGTCACCTTAGCTTTTGAAGAACTTACATACACATACAGATCTTCCTCTCTTGACTTATGACAGGGTGACATCCCAATAAACCCATGGTAATCTTGAGTCAAAAAGGTATTTAATATGCTAACCTACCAAACACCACAGCTTAGCTTCAAATGTGCTGGGAACACTTATATTAACGTAAGTTGGGCAAAATCATCTAACACAAAGCCTATTTTAAAATAAAGTGCTGAATGTCTCATGTAATTTATTGAATACTGTACTGAAACAGTATAGAATGGTTGTATGGGTAGAAAATGGTTGTTAAGTGTATCGATTGTTTATCTTTGTGATCACATGGTTGACTGGGAGCTGTGGCTTGTTGCTGCTGCCCAACATGAGTATCCTACTGCATACTGCTAGCCCAGAAAAAGGCCAAACTCAAGGTACGATTTCTACTAAATGCCTGTCACTTTTGGGCCATCATAAAGTTGAAAAATCCTAAGTTGAACCATTGTAAGTTGAGGATTGTCTATCTATCAACACACAGGAAAACTTGTATCTCTTAATAAGATCCATTATGAAATTCACATTACCTAAGATACAAAATGTTTCACTTGACTTGATCTAACTTCAAGTTTGATGGAAATACAGAAAGAGCACAAGATCCTATACTACAAAGAAGTAACTAGATAACTCCCTAGAGTGCAGAACACCTTAACATATGTCATGAAAAACAAACTTCCAGATTGCAGGAAACCTAAAAGACAGTCACCAGTTTCAGTATATGGATCCTGATTTGAAGAAACTACTAACCATAAAGGACATTTTTTAAGAACTAGAAAAATGTAAATATGGACTGGGTATTAGACTTTACACTACATAGGAAAATACTTTTTAAGACCAGAAGTAAAATAAGGGTGGTAAATAAGTGAATAAATACATATTCGTAAATAGGGAATCAAAACAAATGGGAAAAGGAAACATAGAAGAAACACAGAAAATACCAAGAATAGTAGCAAAGTTCTAATCAAGATCTTGAGAGAAAAAGAGAAATTCCATCCATGAAATAAGAATAGGATAGTATAAATGAGTGACAGACCAGTGACTTAGTAGAAAAAGTCTCAAGTAGAATGGGTCAGAAGATCAAGTTAAGGAAATCTCCCAGAAATTAGAACAAAAAGTCAAAGATGAAAATGAGAAGGTAGAGAAAACTAAGGGGATTAAGTCTTTGGAGGTTAACATCCAAATAACAGGCGTTACAGAAAACATGAACAGAGTAAAGAGAAGGGATGAGATGTACTGGATAAAACTTGCCAGGACCCCTGAAAATGGAAATAATTGTGACAGAAATGTGGGTAAGATTTTTTTTCATTTCCTTAATTTTTTGATACATAAATTTTAAAAAGAAAAAAACAGATAGGGAATCATGTTACCTAAGTAGGAAAGTAACTTTAATACCTATCAGTCCTGTTTAATGTATGACATTCTCAATGGTTCTTTCCATGGCAGGAGAAAGAACTAGATTTGAAGAATTTGCTTTTCAACGCACAGAACCAGGATCCCATAGCAATTTTACTGCTGTTACTAATGTCAATGTTATATCAAGAACCCAGAATTCATCATCACAAGTAGGTTTTCTTGCATACTGAACTCTAAAATTGCTTATAGATTTAAAACTGGCTGATAAAAAAACTCGCAAAATCTATAAACAGCCTTACTTTACTAGCACATATCGGCTTATTTAGTAGTATCTTACTGGGTAACAATAAATCTGATTAAACTTTTTTTTACTAGTGAGCTAGTAACTCAGTAGTCCTTGATTATGGCTTTCTTTTTTTTCCCTGTGTGAAAAACTATCATAACCATTCCTACTCCTTACCAGGAAGCTTAGTAAGAATCCAGCACTCGTGTTGTTCTTACTCTTTTGTCATCTGGTCAGAGAAAAGAGGTTAAAAGGTAAAAGGGTTTAGAAAAAACTGTAAAGCTCAGGGACCAGGAACACATAAATGAAGAGTATAAAAATGATCTTTACTAAATGTCACACCAAATATTTTCATAGTCTTTCCTACTAAGGAAGTGTGTTTGTTAAATGATCATTTTCTTGACATTTAGGGTGCTTTACGGTAACCTTTGGTAAGAGTTTTGCAACTTAAGGCATTCATGTTTTTTATGGTCTTAAAAATAGGCTTATAGGTATGCACACAGAAATGTACACTGCATACCTGCCAGAAGGGCTTATGTTGTTTTACAGGAGATAGGTAGCTTTCTTGTTTTTCCTAAGATTTTATAGTCAGGCCTAGCACAACATGGTTATAAAACACGTAGAGTAGGCCTCAGGAGAGGAGGGCGGCATCGCAGCTAACTAGACACTGTGGTAACACCGCTGTGATTCTCCTTGCAGAACACTGCACGACGGAGGCTGAGAAGCGAGAGCTCCTATGACATAGATAACATTGTGATTCCCATGTCATTAGTGGCCCCGGCTAAGTTAGAGAAACTCCAATATAAGGAAATACTTACTCCAAGGTATGTATACTTACATCTCCTTATTTTCTCGCTTCCTTCGTTTTCTTGAATAAACAAATTTTCAGAGTGAAGTTAAAATTTTAATTAAAGGAAGATGCTCCTCTCTCCCTTCTTCCACTTGTGAAACCATGGAGGAAAAATGGTGAAAGAAACCTTACTCATGCTGAAAAAAAGTGCCATATATTATCACTTTAGTTGTCAACTTTTATTACGAACTGGGAATTCCTAAGACTGACTTACTCTGCACTCTTAGTCTTTTATACAGTGATATTTAGTTATCTTTTGTGTGTGTGTGTGTGTGTGTGTGTGGATATATATAGAGAGAGAGCACAAAAAGGTACTTTAGGGATGTAAATCAGTAACAAATGATCCTTGCTCTTTAAAATGGAGTTTTGCACAAGACTGCAGAGTGTTCAAAGAAAGCAACTACCTTTGCAAGGAATATTCACATTGTAAGACAGTAACACTTGTAACAAGAAAAATAAGAATTTGATGTGTTGTTGCCAAGTCAGCAATAAATAGATTAGTAGGAAGATTGGGAAGACATCATGAAGGAGGGAGAAAGAACAATTTATTCACACAGGGGAAACCATAACAAAGGCACAAGCTATGCCAGACAGAGATTTTTGTGTAGGGTGATAAAGTTATGGCTAGAAAAGGGATTAGAACCAGATTATAGAGGTCCCAGAATGCCATACACAGATCTGCTTCCTACTGGCAGTGAAGTTATGTTTCTGTTTTTTTAAGCAATGATGAAAACAGTTTTTTAAGAATGTGAATCTGGTACCAGGAAGTAGGTAGAAGAGGTTGGAAACAGATATAAGCTCAGTGACAACTACAGTAATTCCTACCCATCTCTATTCTAACTCATTTCAAATCTTACTTCTAATTACTTTGAGGTATTAAGAACTCTTACTACTGTAGGAGGTATTATGAGAAATCCTACAGAGAATCTTTTGGGGTCTTCTACATAAAAGTAAGGAGTAACATTTGTGGTTATGATGTTCTGCAGCAACGATGTTTTTCAATTTACTTTGGAAGGCTGGAGCTGGCTGGTTGGGTTGGTTGTTTAAATACAGAGGAATTCTGTGATCCAGTAGTTAAACCTGAGAGGCCATGCTCTCTCCTCTCCCTTCCTGCCAAGCCATTTTATCAGCATCTACTGACTTAATTCAAAATTGGTACATTCTTAGGTACAGAATGCAGCTATGCAGAAGAGACTGTTTCCTCTAAGGCCAAAAGTAAAGTCTCACCTTCTCGTCTTTTTTTCATAACACAAATTGTTCTCTTTAAAAAAAAAAAAAAAGTATGAAAATACAACCATTTGAATTAATGGAAGCCCCAAGGAAAGAAAACATTACTGCATTAGCTGTGTGTGCTCAGAGAATAAAACTGTTACACTTAGTTAACAAAAGCTGAAATTGGTTTGTATCTTCAACAGCTGGAGGATGGCTGTTCTTCAGCCTTTGGATGAATATCATGTAGGTGAAGAGGAGGTAAGTTGCCTTTCACTTATGGACAATTGCACTTTATATATTATGAAGCCTGCTTAATTTGGTGTTTGAGGAACTAAAGGGAAACATAAGCCCCTTAACATGCACTGATTTTTTTTTCACTTATGAAAACAAAATTCTTCATTAAGGATATTCGTTTCATTAGAAAAATGTTTTCGTGCAAATTTGCAAAGACAGTAATCTGTAAAGAAATGTAATAAAGAAAAACACAGATCTTTTGCTTACATGAATTGTTGAAATACTGAATTTACATGAGTATCTATATTCATTCCCAGTATTAGTCATGTTCTTCTGCATGAAGAGATTTAGTTTTAACATTCAAGTCTACAGTGCCACATTCAAAACGTTGGGAACAAACAGCTTTTGAATTGGGAAACCTTTGGACTTGAGAAAGTAATGTGAATGTGATGGATACATCACATAAGACATAGAGGGAGTCTAGGATAGTTCTCATAATCAAGTAATTAATGTTTCTATAGAAAACAGTTCTAGAATTTGGCCAGATCAGGCTATGTCACTGAATGAATTAAGAACACTTGTTGTTTTAGAGTTTTAGAATGCAGGAAAGGGACTGTGAGCCTGTATGTGTAAAACTTACATTAAGACAAGAACAATTTCAGGGAAAAATACTATATAACCAAACTAATTTGAAAGTGATGTTCTGTGGAAGCACTATTATGTAAGACATTTTGTGTCATCATCTTTCTAGGTCCACTGACTGTGTTTTTCAACTGTCAAAATTTTTTCAATGCCCTCCCCTCTTTTATTGTGCTTTTCCCTAGTTTAGAATGATCCTAGCCAGGAAACCCAAATTCTTAAACAGTATCACCAAAGTCTTAGAACTCCAGATTGTCATTAGTTAATTTTCATTTTTCTCAGTTTTACTTTGCTTTGATATTAAATTCCTAGAACAGTAAAGGGCAATCAATATAAATCTTTGAATGAATTAAGAGAATTTTTTATGCAAAGCACTGTGAACCTATCTGTAATCTAGGTAAGTCTTCAAAGATGACTGACCCAATAGGAAAAAAGTTGTAAAAGAGGAGGAAAAAAAAAAGTTAATCCCTCTATTTTGGAATTTGAAGCTCATCTCATTACACTTGTTCTCTCAATTTAGATTTATTTTAGAATTTTCTTCCCATATTGTTCTCTTGATGAGGAATTGACACCTGTTCTCATATTTCAAAATGTTTCTGATAAAAGAAAAACTTTATTTCTAATTACAGGTAGAAGATCTTTCTGATGAAGTCTTCTCCCTAAGACACAAAAAATACGAAGAGAGAGAGCAAGCCAGATGGTCACTATGGGAGCAAAGCAAGTGGCATAGAAGAAACAGCAGGCAGGTGTTACCAATTTAAAAGCCCAAACCATGAAATCCATGAAGAATCAACAAAAATTCTGCATGAGTAATGAGAGAGACCCCTAAAAAGGAAGAAAATATACTGCAGACCATCAGTTATTTGTGCACTAGAAGTGAAACACGGCATTTACTGAGTACATTCCAAATAGATTTTGGCTCTGACTGATGAAATGCATTTCTCTATTTTCCTCCACTATTTCCTCATGCTTACTGTCAGCCTGAGAAATAGATTTAACTCAGCAAATGATGTGAAAATGCTCCCTAGATAGAGTAGGCCATTTCAATGCACTTTAACAGCAGCCCTAACGCTAGGAATTAGAATCCGGGTGATCTATTCTAACATAACCACTTAAAAAACATGTTGTTCTTAAAAAAAAAATTTCTCAAGAAACCTGTCTAGTCTAAAAAGCAGATGGTCTAAAATAATTCAAAAATATGACTTTGGGGGAAAGGAAATTAAATCCTAAAAACATAATTAGTAATTATATATTTGAGAAAGTCCATGGTATTTTATATTTACACTGGATTTTTTTTTTTTTTTAAAGATTTTATTTGAGAGACAGAATGAGAGATAGAGAGCACGAGAGGGAAGAGGGTCAGAGGGAGAAGCAGACTCCCTGCTGAGCAGGGAGCCCGATGTGGGACTCGATCCCGGGACTCCTGGATCATGACCTGAGCCGAAGGCAGTCGCTTAACCAACTGAGCCACCCAGGCGCCCTGGATTGTGTTTTAATATAGCCAGAACTCACAAAGCAAGATCGTGTTCAAGTCTGGCAGTCCGCTAAATTTAGTGTGGGGGCATCTCTCATTTGCTTAGTACAGCTGACCCTTGAACACAGGTTTGAACTATATGGGTCCACTTACACACAAGACTTTTTACAGGACAGTCCTATAAATGTATTTTCTCTTATGGTTTTAATAACATTTCCTTTTTTCTAGCTTACCTTATTGTAAGAATACAGTACATAATACATATAACATACAAAATGTGTGAATCGTTTATATTATCGGTAAGGCTTCCTGGTGAACAGTAGGCTATTAGTAGTTAAGTTTTTGGGAGAGTCAGAAGTTACATGCGAATTTTTGACTGCATAGAGGATTTGGTGCTAACCCCTGTGTTATTTAAGGGTCAGCTGTATTTTTTTTGTTGTTTTTTTGGTTTGTTTTTTTTTAAGATTTTAAGTATTCGCCCCACACCCAACGTGGGGCTAGAACTCACAACCCGGAGGTCAAGAGTTGCAGGCTATACCCACTGAGCTAGCCAGGCACCCTTCAGCTGTATTTTTAAAACTCATTTCTCTGTTTTGGTCTCAAAATATCCAGATTTGTTCTAGATCCTTATTCCAAGAGCTGTCTTAACACACACGAGACTCATTTCTCATTTTTCTCCACGTTCCAGAGATAGAACTTTCCAGGAGTAAAGAGGAAAATGTGAATCGAGTCCTACATGGATGACATCATAACATAGAATACTCTGGGAACTCAGAAAGACTGTAGAGATCGAGTAACTGTCCTTTCTCATTCAAAAACAAAATAACAGCAATAACAAAACCCCCCAAAACTCAAACCCACTATTATAATTTGGCAAATTCACAAAATATTTCTAAAATACTGTTTAAGTCTTTGAGATAACATCAGGAAGATCGGTAGACAAATTTTTTAAAATCTTCTGGGCAAGACTGTTTAAAGCTACCAAGTTAAACAGACTTAGTGATAACTTGGGGTTGTTCATAACATGTTAAGACCTGAAGAAGTAACAATTAAATATTTTCTTGATTTTCTTGCTAGAGCCTACAGTAAGAATGTTGAAGGACAGGACTTGCTTTTGAAAGAATACCCTAATGACTTCAGTGGTGGTCAGCACGGTGCTGCTGAAAGTCCTGCTGAGCTTCCTTCAGAGAGCCAGGATCTGAGTGCACAGGGCTCACCTTCATTAAATGAAAGTCAAGAAACCAAGGTAAGTGGAATATATATGACTAGTTAAACTTCCTTTTAAATGCCTTTTTAACCTTTTAAAAGCCTGTGTGTAGAAAGTGCTTGTTAAAAAAGTTAAGAAAGGGCAAATTAAGGATTCATCATTACTTAAATCAGTATAAAATGCTGGGTACAAATCAGGGTATGTATTCCAGCATTCTAGTTTCTATCACTAATAAACACTTTATCTTTTCATGTAACATCTCAGTATCTAGTTTTACCTACTCACTCCTCTGTTAGGAAATGGGGATTCTATCCAAGTTTCATTACAAAACCAATCTGATTAGAGAGAACAGTACCTGGCACACAGTAAACGTTAGCTATTTCTTTTTCTAAGAGATTTTCACCTGTCTCCCCATAGATCCAGTTCTTACCTCAAGGGGAGTGTTTTCTAACACAGCATCTATACATTTTTGCACTGTTCTTCATAAGCAGGTGGCGGAAAAGAACGAGATCTAGAACGGAGAGCAGAAACTATAGAAATTAATCGGCAAGTCATAGAAAGCATGGGGAAGGAAAAGTCAATAGGTGTCTGTAGTAATTATGGGCTGAAATCAAGACACTGAAGTAGGAGGAGATCAAAACACTTTGAAAGGGGCCTTCCGAGCGTGCTCTGATGCCCAAAATGAAGGCTGATGCCCGACAGCAGCGTCTCCTCTTTGTGGAAGGGCAAGGGAAATGTCTCTCAATAATTCCCAGCAATGTCCCATTTGAGTTGCTAGATACTCAGGTCGAAATGAAAGTTTGTACATTTATGCACTAGAGAACAAAACAGTAATTACAAAACTGACATTAAAAGATTATCTGATACATGAATTTAAACAAATTAGTTGAAACTTAACTGAAAATGTTCTTTCAGTCTTTGTGGTGGGAACGACGGGCTTTTCCGCTGAAGAATGAAGACACAGAAGCCTTACTATGCCAGGATGAAAAAAAGGATCACAGTGAAAGTTCGAGCCCAGCCTCCTGTGGTGAAATCTTCTGTACCAGTGCACCAGAGAACAGTCACCATCCGAAAAGGCAGGCAGACGAAATGGAAGAGTACAAACCTTTTGGTCTAGGACTTACTCATGTTAAAAAAAATAGGTGACAGGGAACAGGTTAAGAAAAGTAAGTAAGTGAATGGAAGACAGGAGAAAAAAAATAAGCCCTGTTCTCCATCCCCCACCCCCTTCAGTCACGATTCCAGAGTAAGAGCATGTACTGCATGTGTTAATCTTTTATGCTGTTATAAAACAAGCAAGGTAGGTCTCTTTTTCCTTCTTGAACCACAGGAATAACTAGCTTTTCACCTACAGACAAGTGCTAGTCTTTTGTGTTTATGATGCAAATCACAAGCACCAAAAAATTAACTGCTGCAATCTGATGTTAAATCACATTACTGGGTAAATGGTTTTTGAAAGACATTATACCCACACATACATATATATACAAGTATACCTGTGCATCAAATGACAGCTCTTTTTCCTATACATTTCTATGTAATTTCTATGGTAATTCCTTAAAGTTGCCTCAGAGGTATATTAGAATATACAAGCATGTGTGTATAGAGTATACATTCATATCCACACATGTCGTTTTAAAAAACACTGGCAGTGGCCACTCCACTTGAAAATGCATGTATGAGCTACGCCATCAGGTGTAAGCCGCACTCCAAAACAAAGCACAGGCCCCAGTGATAGTGGGTATCTACAAGTCTTGATGATGGGGAGGGGATTTTTTTTAAAAAACATGTTTAACCAATAGAAGTTATTTATGGAAATTTCTATACCAGGTAACACAATACGCCTTTATCTAAAATCACCGTTATCTGTTAGACTAAACACAGGTTACTTTCCATTCGCTCCTAACAGATTAAGACAAGCAAAGTAGAGTTAAATATTGGTCTCTTAAAACTTGAACTTTATCTCTTTTATGTATCTCGTAAAGAGAAGACACCAACTTAAAATAAGCAACAGGAAAGTACTATCAGTATAAAAAATGTTGTATTTCTAGTGAATTTGGTCATTCCTTACTATAGCTCACTCTATTCAAATAAGCATCTATTCTTGTATTCTAGAGTGAGTGTACATTAAGGAAAATTCCCTTTGAAGCTGTCACTTAACTTTTTCAATGTAAAAGTTGAGGACAACTTCTCTCATGTAAAAAAAAGAAAAAAGGTTATTCAAGTTATAGTACCCATATAACTGACAATCCTGGCCATCTGGCCTAGTCTGGGGGGGGGTCTGACACTAAGGTTTTTGTTAGGGATTGGTAATTATACTAGTCCCTTTTTAAGGAAGGAAAAAAATTGATTCAATACTGACAAATTTTTGCTTGTAGTTTTACTGTACATTTATTTTTAAAGAAGAAAAAAGCCAGACAAATCCAAGTTGTCTAGGCAAATAAGCTCAAATCTTTCTGTCATGTCTGACATTATAATCTTCTATGTAAGTTTTTTAATTAAAGTTATTTCTATATGCCTTGTGTTGTCTGATCTGATTAAACACCACCTATTCATGGCACAAACCTTTCCTAAGTCAAAATAAAAACCGACAGATTTTTACATTGTAGGATAGGAAAAAAAACAAGCAAGCTCTAGTCTATGCGGAAGTGTTAATGTTCTTATTTTTCCAACCTTATTTCTCAAAACTCATAGTAGCCTAAAGAAAGAAGCTTAATGACACTGGTCTCCTGTTTATTTCTTGCCATATGTAGTATTTAGCAAGAGTACTGGCAAGAACGAAACAGCGGATACATATTGTCGAAGTATAATTTGGGACACAGTTTTAAATACTTAGTTTACGGATTAACTCTGTACCTTGTCATCTTTTTGGCCTACCTGGTCTTTGTTGGATTAATATAATATATATCCTTGGGGTCAAATCCATAGTATCCAGACTATCCTCAGCCATCTGGTCCGCTACATGGTAAAATTAGATTGCAAGTACAACAGACAGTGTTACATAAAAGAGGCTTCCTTTGCCTAATCTACCTTCCAAGGGCTCCATTTGTAAAAAGAAAGAAAGAGTACAAACCAGAACTCCTGTGCCCTACTGGATTCTTTCCATGGTAACCAGCCCGTTGCTGAGCTTTAGTATCTTCATTTTTTAAATGGGGACAAAAGTACCTGTCCTACCACTCATAAGAGTGATTTGTGGATTTAATGAGCTTGTATTGAAGTACTTTATAGGCTACAAAACATAAATGACAGCTACTTTGTATTGAGCATCCTCAATTCTGTAAATCTGGGAATAGCAGTGGAAGCTTTACATATAGCATATGATTCTTTTAATGCTCAACATAACCCTGCACGGTTATTATAATTATATTCAATGTATAAATCAGTTAACAGATACGCAAAGAGACTGGCTGATTTGATTTGCTAAAGTCAAATTAGATGGAAAGGAGAAGTGTCCAGATTCAACTCAAATGAATTTGTTTCCTTTCCTCTCTGCTCAGAGCTAGCACGGTATTATTTCAGGTTCTTAAGAATGGTGCGTTAAGAAAAGGGACAGGTGGGGATCACTGTATAACCTGCCCCTCCAGCAGAGCTAACAAAGAAAACACCTCGATAAAAATCTATACTTGTACTTTAGAAAAGACCACCTGAAATCCCTGGGCTTCATACGCTGTTTTTACAGTTTTTATGTATCAAATATAAGGTGCAAAGTAAAAAATAGATGTTTAAGAAGCAAAAATACAGTGTGCCATCCTGGCCTGATTCAAACTTAGATTTTTTCACAAGTTCCATTCTACTCATATTGTCATGCGCACACACAAATTAAAAATGACACACGGAACAGGAATAAGGACTTCCTTTGCTTTGGAAAACCAAGAAACGAGAAGATTTAAAATGCAGAGAAAACCATTTCTTTGTAGTAACTAGTACACCTTCATTAGGCTTTAAGACACATTTTTGTTTACAACCTTAACACAGCCATATTTTTACTTTGTAAAAATCAAGTCTCCCAGTAAAAATGGTATTTTGCCACACTAATCTTTAAATTCCATCACTAAAAATGTAGTTATACACACCAATTTCTAACCTCTTGGAACATTCTGCAGAATAGATTTCAGTCACTGAAATGAATAGCTGCTCAGAAAAGCAGCACTGCTTCAACTGTGATAGGATTTGATAGTCAATATTCTTGTCTTCCAGTAAAAAGATTTCATGAGCATCAACTCCTTGTGGTTTCATCGATCAAGAGAACGTTTCTGAGCAGCTTCTGAGCAAACATTTCGTAACAGGTTGATCACAGATCTGGGGTCATCGCTCCTCATGATGGCACTGCCAGACACAATCATGTTAGCTCCTGCCTGGAAGAAGTAAACATTTAAGTTATGCTTCAAAGGAAGGTGCACAAAAGCTTAAGACAATTTCTGGACTAGAGTTTCTACCCTTGCATCTGTCAGCACTTTGTACGAGAGCTACCTAGAGATGAACAGACTTAATCTAGTTCAATGAAGACATAAGTTGAAATGCTTAACAAATGAAGATATCAAATTATTTTTAAATGTGTTTAAGAAATCATGGACATTTTTGTAACCACCTTTAAAATAAGCTACATTGTTGCAGCTTTGCTAATATTTAGAAAAAGCTGTAAAAACCTTTAATCTTGAATTCTATTATATAGATATTATATAACATATATAACACATATAGCTATAATATAACATTATGCAGATATGATATATAGATATATATATATTTGCATATTTTGGAACATATAATATTCCAAAATATGCAAATGTTGACAAGGTTACTAAAAAAAAAAGTATCTTTTAATCTTTAAACTATGTAGTTGACCCTTGAACAGGGTCGGGGTACCAACCCTCTGTGCAGTCAAAAATCTGCGTGTAACTTTTGACTCCCCCAAATCTATTAATAGCCTCCTACTGACTGGAAGCCTTACCAATAACATAAACAGTTGAGTCATACATATTTTGTATATGTATTACATATTGTATTCTTAAAGTAAGCTAGAGAAAAGAAAATGTTAAAATCATTAGGAAAATAAAATTACAGTACTGTAAAAAAGGACCCATGCAGTTCAGACCCATGTTATTCAAGGGTCAACAGTGTATGAATTGGCAGACAATTACTGCTAAAATGTGAAACTATAAAATATGGCAACATTAAATAATTTCTCATTTTGATGTCAGAAAGAATGAAACGCTTTTTAATATATGCTTCACTGCATTCCAAAAAGGCTCTGAGGGGCTTAAAAAAGATGATTCCAAGATACTTCTAAATGTGGAAGCAAAGAAATCAAAGAGAAAAGCAAGAAAGGTAAGTCCAAATTTAGCTCTAAGCTTCCAGAATTTGACTCGAGGAGGGAAAGCCAATCTGTTCTGTGATCTCCTACCAGAACAAAGTCGCAGGAGGCTAGGGGAGGGGCCCCAGAGGGGACGAAAGTCCTAGGAGACACTGTCACTGTGATACAGCACACAGCATCTCCAATGACATTCCTCATAAAAGTGAAAAAAAAAAATTAGTTTTGTAGGGTTACAGCTTGACGTGTGTTTTAATGTAAGCAGGAAAAGCCCAATGGCACAGCACATTTCAGTAGAAAGAATTCCCCAAGTGGCCAAAGGATATATGCTCACTAACTGTTTGGTCAGCTCCTCTTCCATCTCACAACCAAGCTTTTGAGAAGCTATCAAGCAAAAAAGTATGGCATTTATACAAACAACTGAAAGTGCAGATCAGACTGTGTTGCTTAACAAAAATGGGCCACAGAAATGGTCATGGCCTGCAATGTTAAAGGAAGGGCTGGCACGCCACCCCTGCCCCCCCTTTTTTTAAGATTTATTTTTCAGAAAGTGAGAACGAGCAGGAGGGGCAGAGGGAGAGAGAGAATCTCAGGACGACTCCACATCGAGTGTGGAGCCCAATGCGGGGCTTGATCTCACAACTGTGAGATCACAGGGCTGGCACCCTCTTAGGAAGGAAGCTCAGGGCCCAACCCCGCTCAGCTCATTACTTGGGAAAATGCATCCCACCCACAGGTATCCAGAAATCAGACCGAGATTTCCATCAGAAATGGCTCTAGTCAGTTCTTGCAAGGGACAAACTAGTAACTAATATGCCTCAGTCACACAAAACTACCACCTTTCCACTTTATAAGCGGGTACGTTTTCTTTCCCTATTTTGGAAAAATGTCCTACTCCAAGGCCTAGAACTTAATGATCTCCAAAAGGCTGGCATTCAGCATATTCTTTAAAAAAAAAATAACTTCCTTTAGCATTACTCAGATAACTGGGACTTACTTTTTAATGATGATGTGACTGCTCTTCATTTTCATAGTTCTACATTTGAATAAGAAAAATAACTCTTCCCAAAAAGAATGGCAATTCAGGAAATGGAGGGGAAATCTCTTTGGTGCACAAGACAATGTCCTAGACACATGTGAAAGGAAACTGGTCTGGGTCATAGCTGAGGAGCAGTCTCACCTCTGCACATTTATGGACGGTATCCGGACCTACTCCACCATCGACTTCTATGTCCAAGGATGGGAACTGAGTCCTCAACCAATGAACCTAGATATACATGAAGAAATAAGTGACTCCTATGGTGGACATGTTGCAGGGGGGGAATAAAACCAAATAAATAAAAAATCAAATAGCCAATATCAGCCACTACAATGGAACTCCAAATATCTCACACAATATTTTATTTGTTTACTTAAGTTTATTTATTTAAGTAATCTCTATACCCAACGTGGGCCTTGAGCTCAGGACCCAGAGATCAAGAGTTGCATGCTCTATCAGCTGAGCCAGTCAGGCACCCACCCCATCACACAGATAAC